AATTATAAATAAGATGGTATTAGTGAATAGACTAAACAAGTAGAAGAATAGACAAGAAATAAAGTAGGGGGAAATGGAAAAGGAAAGAATTTGAAATGCAACCTATGTAGAAAGGGATGGTTTAGGAATGAGGTGAAATTGTGCACAAGTTTGGGGAGGTGGGGGTGGTGGCGGAAGTTTTCGCCCCCACAGGAATTTGCCGATCCAGTACCGTAGGGAGGCATTATTGTTAAACATGCAGTTAACACGTTCAGTTAGAATTTATGAAGCATTCACATGTCTCATGTTCTTAATGTGCGTTCATTTTTAAATCAGTTTAGGAGTTGAACTGTTCAAGTGTTATAAAAGCTTAGTTTTTATATGATCCCCTGTTGAGAGAGTGCAAATAAAGTCGTGGGCGCGACAGAGGGAGCTGCGAGCTTCTTCTGAGATGTCCTTCTGTCGCCCCTTCCAACTCCTAGTGCGGGGCGGCCAATGACGATCGTTGGACAACGGTCGGCAGTGATTGATGGTGGTCAGCGATGGTCAACGGTGGTTGATCCTCATGGGTCGGCGGTGATAGACGGTGACATGAGTGGTGCAGGACTTCAGTTCATTCTCAAATCTTCAAGTTCTTTCTCAAGCCTCAAGCTCTCCCCCTATGAGGGAGGTGAGACTTTATTTATAGTGTTCTAAGTGCAATGAATACAAAAATATGAACCACTCAGTCCGGTGGCTTCCTTTGATCAGACAGTGTTTGATGGACATTTGAGTGCTTGAACGATGTCAGAATTGAACAAAATTTGGCTTGTTGGATTCATCTTGTCGAGACATTCGATTTGATTATAAGCTTGTTAGATTCGACATTTGTTTAACTTTCTAAATATGTCTGAAGAACTTCCAAGAATGGTTTAATGACTTGATTTGAGCTTGATTTGACTTAGATTAGACTATTTTGGTAACTTTGGGTTCTTCTTGTGGAGCCGGTCACTTTGACTGTAATTTTGCTGAAATCGGAGTTTTGGATGAGTTTTTATCGAGCTTTGAATATTTCTTGCTCAAAAAGTTACCTCGAGATTCATGTTAAATGATGGAGATTTGCTGGAGATGTATCAATCCAATAAATTCGGAGTAACTGTTTAACAACTTTAGTAGGATTTAATAGAATTTATCTTTCCCCATGCTTCATCTTCTCTAATTCCTATAAAACTTTCTTCGGACGAGATTGACTAAATCCCGAATATGAGGTAAAAGGGGAATTAAGATTCAATAGGATTTATGAATGGCTTTTCTGTCGTTTGACAGGATTTAGCATACATCTGTATAAGTCTGGCTTAAAACTGGCTACCGAGCAACCCCTTAGTATTATCGAGCAAAAATTTTATACACATGTAAATTAAATGAATATCATAAAAGTATAGGAGAAATGACATTTTTAATGTGTATATTTTGAATTAGAAAAATCATGGGACATTGCTAAGTTGAAATGACTTTATTAATCATATATTATATAGAATGCCTATTTTCATGGGATGGTGCTAAAAGTGAGTCATGAGATATCAGAGTTATCATCAGGCAATATTAATGGGTGCTCTTTTTATCACTCATAGGGGCAAATATTTGGATGGTGAGAAGATTAGTATCGATCGTCGCGCAACAATTGGTGATCAATTTCGTCATTCTATACATAAGAGGTGGGAGTAGCGGCCAGAAAGACATCCAACATCGATATCTAATGAATGTTTTTCACATTGGCTGATGTTAGGAAATGATCCCAGATCAATGGTTTGGTTGTTCTCTGTAAAGAAAGAGAAGTTATTGGACTAGAAGGTTTTCTATAAATTTCTCATTTATCTAATTAATCAGCTTTAAATACATATCTTAAGTAGGGCTGTAAACGAGCCGGGCTTGAGCGAGCTCAGGCTTGGCTCGTGTTCGGCTCGTTCGAAATAGTTCATGTTCGAAATCGGCTCGTGTTTGAAATTGGCTCGTGAACAGTGTGTTCGTGTTCGGCTCGAAATTGGCTCGTTAATCTAAAATTGAGAAAAATAGATGTAATGTGTGGGATTCGAACCTGGATCAAATCTATACAGAAGAAGATACTAACCACATTGCTACATGAGGCGTTATGATTTAAATTTAGACATAAATATATATATATATATATATTATCGAGCCATTTCAAGCCGAACACGAGCGAACAAACTGTTGTTTGTGTTCGACTCGTTTACATTTCGAGCTTAAAAATTTGTTCGTGTTCGGCTCGTTAGGCTTAACGAACGAGTCGAACACGAGCTGCTTAACGAGCCGAACACGAGCTGTTCACGAACAACGAGCCAAATTGACAGCCCTAATCTTAAGGGCAGATAATGTAATAAAAGAAGGTAGAATAGTCAATGATATCAAACGTTGACTATTGACAGGTGTCGGGTGATGGGCAATTAAGAATATTAAATGCAAAAAATAAGGCTAATATATATATTTATATGGCAGGCATTATGATCATTTAGACAACGAATTTGGACAATCCTTTGGATCTTATCCTTATAATAACTTAATATTTTTTTTAGATATCTTAACATTTTAATATTAAAGTTAATTGATCTTTGGTGGTCAAATTCATCTTATTGAGACACTTGTTTTGTTTATAAACATATGGTACATAGATGTCTTTTGACCCGTCAATTGATATTGTAAAATTTTAAATTTATTCTTCCAAGTGTTTAATCTTATAATGTTCATTGCTTAAAAATCTAGATGTATTTCTCGCATCTCAAGCAAAGGAAGAAAAATGATGCATTTACTCGCGCATACCACCTAATTATAATGTATTTATCTAACACTTATGTTTTACATTTCAAATCTTCTATAACACATTAAATACTACTATTTTAATTTTAAAATAAGAAATTAAAGAACGTATTTGTTTCATGCATAAAGAAAGTGATATGTATGTGTGTAAAATGGGGGAAAAAGAGACTAGAGAGAGGATCGACTCTTTGGGTGTACATTAGAATTATGTTGACATGAATATCAAAGAGATCCAAAGGACTAGGAGATCAAAAAGTACAGTTAAGGAGGGCTCACTGATGAAAGATCAAAGGATCCACTTACCTGATGCAACCCCCTAAATTGAGGCTGGATGTTGATTGTGAGTAAACCATCTAAATCGAGGACTAAGACTAATCGAGCTGGGCAGATGCATTGATCTATCTATCTCGACAAGCCAACTCAAGGTAAGAGTTCGGTATCACCGGCAGTCTCATGAACACCCATAAATTTTTCATCATGGACCAAAAATTGGCAACTACATATCCCACGATCATCCTAAAAGAGCCTCTCGTTAAGGAATCAACTACCTATCAGACCACATTGATTCACATTCTGCCCAATAACCTAATCTCGCTTGGTCGATATGTGATTCTCATCTTTGAAAGGTGTGCATTTTGCATTAATATATAAAAAATTAGTTAAAAAAAAAAGAAAGAGAAGAAAAAAAAGATCTAGCCCGAGAAAACATGAGCTTCTCATCCAGAGATCAATGACTGATAGCGTAGAAAAACCAACAAGACCGATCGAGTTAAGTCTTGCTGACCCAAAGACAATCAAAGCCCGACTGACACCCCGATTCAGAACAACCAAATGAACAGGTCTTGTCAGAGGATGGTCGAACTATAGGCCCATAGTTGAAAATATTTAAAATATTGGGTAATACCTCTATTAAAGTAATAACAAACATATAATGTTACATATTATTCCCACTTTACTATAAATAGATGAATCATTTTATGAGAAATGACTAATTAATAATACCACTATTCATTATTGCGCATCCCCAATCTTCAGCTATTATTATTAATTGTGATTCATATACAAATTAAAATTCAACACCAATCTTTTTTAGGGGATCATGCACTATGACTCACAAAATCTTTCTTGTGCTCCTCTTCTCATTAAGATCATTTCCTCCGCTCGGATGATAAGAAAACAAAACACATAATTTAAGCTTGAAGAACACATCCATCATCTTAGCATCCATCATCTTGCTCCACCTTCTTCACAAAAATCTCTCCTCATATATTATGTATTTATTATAAAATATATATTGCTGCGATACCAATATTTTCATAATTTATTCCCCAAAAAAAGTTTCCTCATAATTTATAACAATAGCGAAAGCGCGTGACAATCAGATCATTACCCAATTGAAATAAGATTACCAGAGCTATTTTTTCCTCCAAATCATCACATAACTGATAGACAGAGTAGAATAACCAACCGACAAAGGCACACCGATCGAGTTAAGTCTTGCTGACACGAAGACAATCAAAACTCAACTGTCACCCCGATTCAGAACAACCAAATGAACAGGTCTTGTCGAACTATTGTCTACAGATTTCAGTCGACCGAGTCAGAAGGTAGCCGAACCATTAGCCCATAGTTGAAAATATCTTAAATATTGTGTAATGTCTCCATTAAATTAGGGACAAACATATAATTTTACATAGTTTACCCACTTTACTATAAATAGATGAATCATTTTGTGAGAAATGACTAGTTAATAGTATTACTATTCTTTGTTGTGCATCCCCCATCTTCAGCTCTATTTCTTATATTTGATTCATAGACAAATCAAAATTCAACACCAATCTTTTTTGGGGGATCATACACTACGACTCAACGAAATCTTTCTTGTGCCCCTCTTCTCATTAAGATCATTTCCTCTGCTCCACTGGAGGATGATAAGAAAACAAAACACATAATTTAAGCTTGAAGAACTCATCCATCATGTTGCTCCACCTCCTTCACAAAAATCTCTCCTCGATATATCATGCATTTATTATAAAATATGTATTGTTGTGATAGCAATATTTTCATAATTTATTTCCCAAAAAAACAAAATTTCCTCATAATTTCCAACAAGAGCGAAAACCCGTGACAATCAAACCATTACCCAATTGAAATAAGATTACGGGTGCTATTTTTTTCCTTCAAATCATCACATAAATACAAAAAAAATAAAATAAAATAAAAATAAATAATTTGAAGCAACACTTTAAACCTCAAATTAAAAATTCGAGCCCTCATCAAGCTCGATAAATCATAAAAAATTATCTATTCTTCACCCCAACTAATTTCTCCTCCTCCCTAAACCCTAAAACTAAAATTACTAAGAAAATCAAGAACAACAACGCCAACCTCTACGATTTCCGAATCTAATCTAGAAGGAAGAACGGTTCGATCGGACCGAGATCCGAATCGGAGCTGTCCGGCCGGAGCCGGAACCCCGGCAGTTATTGCAAGCCATCCGGCCCGTGCCGGCACAAGTGCGGCAGCCGCGGTCCCCATCAGACCATCGGGAGCACAAGCACTCCACCTTTCCCGTTCCGCTGCACTTAGGGCACTGTTGTCTCCACGTGCAGGGGCCGCCGGAGCTCGCCGGCGGCAGATGTAGTCGGTGCTCCTCCGCGGCCTTCAAGAGCATAGCTCCGGCCACCACGCCGAGACCCGTCGCCATCTGCGTCGCCAAAACTAAAGGCCCCATTCTCTCTCTCTCTCTCGCTTACACAGACTGAATATTGAAAGGGGAAAAGTTAGAGATGGTGTTTTGAGGGGTTTCGGGGCGGTGGTAGTATTTATAGCGGTGGTCTTGAAAAGGAGGACGAAGAAGCTGCTTCGCTGATGCCGGGTTCTAATTTTTCACAACTTTATCTCTGAGAAAGTTATCATAATTTTATTTTATTTTAATATATATATATATATATATATATATATATAT